TACAAAGTAAGGTACACTTGCAAAGACAAAAATAGGGAAAAATTTTCTAGGAAATCTTAAAAGTAAGGATTCCTTTGTCTTATATTCTTAACTGATTAAATATGACCTACAGTGTCTTGACATCCAAGATAAACTTTCTACAACTGTAGCAAAAAGAGAAAAAAGATGCAGAACAAATCAAAATACTCTTTCCTGATTAAAAGAATGGGCCCAAATAGAACACTAGCTAATTGAGAAAACAAGAAACTTCCGAAGTACCATAAGCATACAAACATAGTCACTGTCCGGTTAAAAACATTTAACACCATTAAAAAAAAAAAGTCCCATGCCCTCGCATCCATCACTCAAGGTGCCCGCGTGTGTGTCAAAGGAGAAACATGCCTCAGAGGTTTCAAGGGCTGTGAACTCCAGGAGGAGCTCAGCAAACCCTTCTGCCCCGGTGCCAAGGATGAACCCAGATGACTAACCTTTTGGTCAGTAGCCAAAGGCAAACCATTTGTGCCACCCAGGAAACCAGCCATAGCACTACAGTACTAATACAGTACTGTTGCTGTTGTTAGGTGCCGTCGAGTCATTTCTGACTCATAGCGACCCCATGCACAGCAGAACGAAACACTGCCCGATCCCGTGCCAGCTCCACGATCCCTGCTATACTTGAGCCCTTCATCGCAGCCACCATGTCAATCTATCTCGTTGAAGGCCTCCCCCTCTTTTGTCGACCCTCCACCCTACTAAGCATGACATCCTTCTCCAGGGAATGGTCCCTCCTTACAACATGACCAAAATAGGTGAGACAAAGTCTGACCATTCTTGCTTCCAAGGAGCATTTCGGGTGCACTTCCTCTGGGACAGATCTGTTAGTTCTTTTAGCAGTCCACGGTACTTTCAGCATTCTTCGCCAGCACCACAACTCAAAAGCATCAACTCTTCTTCGGTCTTCCTTATTCATTGTCCAGCTCTCACATGCATACGAGGTGATTAGAAATATCATGGCTTGTGACAGGCACACCTTAGTCCTCAATGAGATATCCTTGCTCCTCAGCACTTGAAACAGTTCCTTCACAGTTGACTTTCCCAATGCTACACGTCGTCTAATGTCCTGACTGCTGCTTCCGTTGGCATCGATTGTAGAACCAAGCAACGTGAATTCTTTGACAACCTCAATCTTCTCTCCATTTATTGTGATGCTGCTCATTGGTCCAGTTGTGAATATTTTTGTTTTCTTTATATTGAGACGCAATCTATACTCTAGACTGTATTCTTCAACCCTCATCAGTAAGTGCCTCAAGTCATCCTCACTTTCAGCAAGCAAAGTTGTATCATCTGTGTACCTCAGGTTGTTAATGATTCTTCCTCCAATCCTGATGCCACGTTTTTCTTCATATAGTCCAGCTTCTCGGATTATTTGCTCAGCATATAGATTGAATAAATGTGGGGAAAGGATACAACCCTGACACACTTCCTTCTTGATTTTAAACCATGTAGTGTCCCCTTGTTCTGTTCGGACGACAGCCTCCTGGTCAAGGTACAGGTTCCTCATGAGTATAATCAAGTGTTTGGGAATTCCCATTCTTCTCAATGTTACCCATAATTTGTCATGATCCACACAATCAAATGCCTTTGCATAGTCAATAAAACACAAGTAAATGACTCTTATTCCTCTTTTTATAACAAACTCTGGTGGCACAGTGGTTACAGCATTTGGCTGCTAACTGACAGGTTCGCAGTTCCAACACACCCGGTGCTTCACAGGAGAAAGAGGCAGTCTGTTTCCCTAACGAGTTACAGCCTTGGAAACCCTATGGGGCAGCTGTATTCTATCTCCAAGTGCCAACATGAGTCAGAATCGACTCGATAACAGTGAGTTTATTCCTTTTTTGGAGGAACAAAATCATCACTCATTCCCAGCACTTACATCCAAGGGGAGGAAGCACACTTGACACTCTCCCTTCCTCCTCCAAGAGGCACCATGTACAGAAGCCAAGGAATAGCAAACCAATGCCTATAGATAAAAACTTCCCGTGAAAGATACTCATCAAATTACACACAAAGCAAATCGGTATTATTAGTCACACTTCTAAAAGCTAATTCAGATTCATGACAAGAAAGAGACAATGTAACAGATCTTTTGAGACCTGGAAAGCCTCAAGATAAACTGACATTAATAAAAAAGAATTCAGAGTCATCCTGAGTTAGGATGTAGATTTTTCTATGTTGTGTGTCACAAGTCCATTCCAACTCGCAGCACCCCCACTGGACAAAGGAGAACTGCCCAGTAGGGTTTCCTAGGCCGTAAATCTTTACAGAAGCCGATTGCCTCATCTTTCAACTTTCTCCCATGGAGCGGCTGGTAGGTTCAAACAGCCAACCTTCTGGTTAGCAGGCACATGGCTAAGTCCAGGATCTCTGCTCTCTTTCATTCTGCATTCTTACCCAACAGGCAGCCTATAAAGCACTTCCCACAGTACATACAAGCACCTATATCTAACGTTAGTCCAACATCACCCCTACTCCAGAGTGAGAGCACTGAGAGACATCAGCACATTGAAGAAGGGATGGAGAAGCAGCCACCTCTTCACTTGCTCAGACTAGTTTCATTACAGTTATTAACTTACAATCTTGACTAGAGAGTGAAAGGAGGGGCAGACAGGAAACGGGCAGCAGAAGGCTAAACACGAGCCTGGGTGGAGTCCCAAGGAGCTCTGGTGGCGCAGTGGCTAAGTGCTCAGCTGCTACCAAAAAGTCAGCTGTTTGCTCCACAGGAGGAAGTCCTGGGCAGCTGCTTACAGCCTTGGAGACCCTCCCAGGCATTTCCACTCTGTCCTCCAGGGGCGCTGTGAGTGACACGGACTCCATGGCAGTGGGTTTGGTCTGGGCTTTGCTTCCATGAAGATTGACAGCCTGGGAAACCACTTGGTGGTGCAGGGTGGCTTTGAGTTGGAATGGACTCCACAGCAGTGGGTCTGGTATTGCGTCCAGAGTGCCAACCACGAGGCTCGGCAGCTTTTTCAGAACTCGCATCTGCAAACTTTCCTGGGCCAGAGAAAAGCTCTTGGTAACGGGGGAACTTCAGCACAGCGGCGCCGGGCCTGATCGGTGCAAGGGTGCATGTGAGTGGTGGCGTGGCAAACACGACAGAGCGCGGTGCGGGCGACTCCTGGCAGATTAACCAGCGGAGAAGAAAACAACTTTATTCTGCCATGTTCCTGAATTACACGTATGTACCGTCTAAAAACGGTAAGAACACCTCTCCACGGCTGTCACTGGCCAGTCCTACTTTCACATTGCAGTGGGGTCGTTTTTGAGAAGAAAAATGGGGAAGCGGGAGGTATAATTTGCATCCGGTACAATTCACACTTTTCGAGGGACAGTTCTGAGCTGTGACGAACCAGAACCGAGCTATGAACAGGGCAGGCCCTTCAAAAGATGATGTCTTTTGGGGGGGCGGGTCTCAAAGCAAAATCACTGTCAGCGTACTTACAAAAACAGCCTTTTTGCTTCAGAACCACCGCCTCCTGCCGTCAGAACCAGGGGCCCATGCGCTGCCCGAGAGTCTAAAGGCGTGTGAGTAACTCCTGAGGACCGAGCCCGCCCCGCCCCGCCCCGCACGGCCGAGAAGCGGCCCCGCAGCCAGGGGCGCCCGTCCCTCATGGGCCGCTCTCCGCGCGCGGAGACGACGAAGGCAGAGTGGCAGGCAGCCTGGAGCCACGAGGAGGGAGAGTCTGAGCCGTAAGCACTAACTCCGCGGCCCCGAACGCTTCTCCCCAGTGGGGCACTGCGCGTGGAGGCGGGCCAGGGCGCCTGGGAAGATGACCTACTTCCGACGGCCGTTTGGGTAACTGGAAAGGGAGGCGGAGGCGCGGGGACGGGTCCCCACCACCCGCCAGGCACCCACGGCTTGGAGGAGAGGAACAGAGAACCCACAGCCTGCACCCGAGCTGCGGGTGGCGTCAGGAAGGAAGTGAGTGCGCGACCCGGCCGCACACGACCCGGTCGGCAGGGGGCGAGGGGCCGGGCCCGCCGGCAGCGGAGGCCGGGGGTGGGCGTCCCTCAGCGGGGCGAGGACGCTCCCGGCACCTGCCGCCAAGCCGGGGGCGGTGGGGCGCGTCCCCCGCCAGGAAGGGCTCGGTCGGGGCAGGCCAAGCGCGCCCCCCTCCCACCCGGGCCGAAGCGGCCGTCAGGCGCGGGCCCGGACCAGCGAAGGGCG